GTGGTTTGGTCATTCCATTTCTCCCGTTCGCCGGGCTTGACAATTTGTTTGCAAACGAGGTATGACCCACTATCGTCAATTTCGCTCCACGAAAATGAAAAAGGACATCAATTTGACTTCGAATCAGTGAAAATTATCGACCAAGCCCGNCTTAACAAACAGGCGCATCGAACTGGATCACGTGAATGCAACTCAAAGTTCAGATGACGCAACAAAAAGGTCACATCATGACCCGGGAACGCACCAGAAGCGCAATCAGGACGGAAGCGCAACTCCCTCACCCACCCAACGGCGAATCGGGTCGAGCACAGTGAAACGAAGGGACAAAAATAGTCGGTTGAGAAAAAACATATGAAAAGAAACGGATGAAAGCAGAACACTGCCACTTTACAAATACTGACGATGTCATCTCGGCTGTTGATGAAACATTTGCAGACAAATTGTCAAGCTCGGCGAACCGGCGGAATTTAATTCAGTTCACTAGAGGTACGAGAACCGATTTTCAATACTTGGTTAACTCTTGGTCGTATAGGAGCACTCCCCAGGGACAAGAACATGATGACCAAGCACAACTCGAGACATCCATTTATCGACCATATATGGACTTTCAGTGATGAATGAAGATTAAGATAGGGATAACACCAAGTTTGTTTAGAAATTGAGTATGTTTGTTGACGTAACTCGGCTAGGTCAGTCAGTTTATGTAGTTGCTCGTTATGCTCATCGCGAGGTCATCAAACAAGACGTCTTAGCCATGCGCCCGAGTTCTCTGGTGCGGATTCCCACATATTTAACTTTTTTCCCCCAACTACGTACCTCAGATAACATGGTTCGCAGAGAAAGCCTATCAGATGACATCAAAGATTCCCCAGTATTCTGTAGCGGTCGGGCACTTTATCCACTGCGCCACCCTAATTACCTGAAACTGGGTGTCTTATGTTGTCACTCCTTGTCAGACTATCCGTACGCAGTCGAGCAACGCGGCATAGAGAGCTGTGTTCAAACACGTACGGTCATTTCGCTCCCACGGATTGTACCACCGAAAAGAAACTGTCTGACAACTGCGGTATAAACTCGACCCTGCCTGGACAATCCTATGTCACGGCGGTGTCAAGTTGCCAAACCTTGTTGATGCACGCCGAAACGTCATCTGTGACACTACGACTAGGTGAGATTTAGATGCACAAACAGCACACACATTTGTCTGCTTTCTGCATTTTTTGCAGCTTGATTAACTCAGTTCTTTTGGTGGTATTTTTTGCTTTGAAGACACAGAACCACAATTGAACGTAGTAGCTATACTAGCTTTTAACTCATCCAAACGAGCTTGTAATTTATCTGGAGCTTCTGCTAGCAGTAGAATGTCGTCTGGGTACAGGATCAAATTGCACTACTCACACGCCGAGATAATTTTGGGACATATGCAAAGTCTATCGGAAGATCTATGTAACAGTTCCGCAAAGATTCATTCCACCGATCCCTGTGATCTTTGTGAATTTGCCTTTAATTGCAAATCGTCTTTCAATGCTTTATGGCCACAGGTTTGCTCCTAATCCAGTGTTTCGTGATGCACGTCTCGTTAAGAACGAAAACTACTCCGCGGCGCTTTTTGTGACTGCTTACATTGGGAAACTGGAATATGCTTGTTCTCGAAGGTGCCACCGGTTGCCCCCCCCCCGACGTTTGATATTGTTCGTTTTAAATGAATCTACTCCGAACTTCTTCACAGTAAATGTCAGCTAGTGGAGGAAAAAAATGTATGAAAATAATTGCGGATTAGCTTCATTATTATCATAAGCATTACCATTCTGTGGTTCCAAAATTGCTGACTGCATATCTGTGAAGAAGCATAGAAGAAAGAAATATGATAAACTACCAAGTTAGTTGCAAATACTGTACCGAAAATCATGTTGCGCTATCTGGACCTCCGAAAACCTCAGTGTGGTCAATAGGTGAATATTTCGGGTTGTGCCTGGTCACCATATACTTACTTACCTCCTGATCCAATGCTCCTATGCGACCAGGTGTCTCAAAACGCATCTGCTGTAAAAACCCCGCTGAATGACTACCCGCCGCAGATGTGTTTTCCCA